ACAAAGCTGAACTGGGTTCAATCCCTGGCACCCCACGTGGTACCGTGAGCCCAGAGTCAGGGTAAATCCTGAGCATGGCCAGGTGTGCACCCATCCACCCCGAAGAAAAAAAACTTTCAGTGAATCTAAGGAACAAATGACGACTTTATTTTCTTTGTGTGTGCGAGTAAAAAAATGTAAAACGTGGTCTCAAATATTGAACTGTTTCTTCTCGTTAATCACGGCAAGTTGTGTCCAATTTAGAAATCTGAAGACGACTCTATTGTAGCTAATCTCAGGATCTTAATCGCCAGGTAGAGATTGTAAAGGATCCAGATGTAGGTCTGAGTGTGATGGTAGATAAAGTGCTAAAGGAATTTGCTCTGCTCTCAGGTTGAAAGCCTGGGAAGGGTCTAGGTCAAGATTCCCTGGGTTCATGCAGAAACCGCTGCCTGCCCCCAAGGGCCTTGGTGTCGTGCAGTGCTGATGGCGGAGGCTCTCTCCATCCTGGGCTCCCACACGGAGGCTGCCTCTGAGCGAGGAAGTCAGCTCCACTCACCCAGCCCCTGGGTTTGCTGCGGGTTTTTCCCAGACTGTTGTTATCTCCAGCTTAGCTGCACGTGATGTGTGCCAAAGGCGTGTCTCTGCACTTTGTGAAAGTCAGCGTTTCTCTCGGGAGCTTGTCTCCAAGTTAGGTTTTTGAAAGGTTCAAAACAGGTCCAGCTGCGGAAGACAGGGCCAGTCCTCCCCTGCTCAGACCACTGCTAAAGCCAGAGCAGACGGGGTGGGGGGGTGGTCCTGTTCTGCGTCCCCCACTTCCCTGAAGGCCAAGGACAGATACCAGAACCAGAATGTCAGGCGCGGCCTTTGGTCAGGAACTCTGAGGGGCCGGGAGGCAGTCTCCACGGTCCTGAGCTCACTGTGCGTGCTGATGTCTGGCTGTCTCCGCGCTCGCTCGCTGCCGTGCTCACCTCACCCTCTCCTTTCCCTCCCACTCCTGCTTCCTTTGCTCTCTTTGTGTGTCTTTGATGGTAAGACTAAAGAAAGTCTATCCACGTTATAATAAATAAATTTCATATATATTTTTTAGTAAACCAAGTCGTTGTATATATATATATTTTTGGCTGCCTTCATCCCTCTGTGTCTTGCATTTGTTTCGCAAAATACTCTCGACAACATACACAACACACATTCACACACACACATGAGCACTCACCCTTTAAGATCAAGCCACAGCAAAGAACTTCAGTGCCAATTTAGTTCTCCTGGCTGTATTTGCATTTCTCTTCCTGTTTCTAATATTTGGTTCTTGTTATTTGCATTTTGAAAGGTTCCCCAGTAACACTTTAAGGTATTTGCATCATGACTGCGATTTATTTCTTATGTAAGTTGTAAGGAAAGAATCTGGATAGTGTGATCCCTTGGGAAAGGTTTCTGGCCCCGGAGACCTCCCTTCCGGCTCTCCTCCCTCTGCTGTTGCTCAGGACACCAACTCTAAAGCGTGTGGCTTTAAAGGGGCCCATGTATTTGTGACTCGGGCATCGGTAAAGAGACCCGATGTCCTCTAGCCACTTGTGGCTTGCACGGTAGAAGTCAGAGCTGAGAGGAGACAAAGGGAATTAGCCGTGAGGACTGGTCAGCAGGAGCAGCTGCCGGGGTCTGTTTGGCCGTGTCCATGTAGGGGTCGCCACACATGCCCTGTCATGGACAGCCAGCCGGGAGATTGTGCAATGTTCCAGGCTTGTGTCAGGAACATGCCAAGGAAGCTTCCCTCTCCTCCTGCCTCAGAGCTCATGGCTCAGGCAAGTTGGATAGTCCTGACCAAAGAATGGGGATCTGGGACTGGAGCGACATTCCAGTGTGGAGAGCAGTTGCCTTGCACACGGCCAACTGGGTTTGAGCCTCGGCATCACATATGGTCCCCCTGAGCACTGCCAGGAGTAATTCCTGAGTGCAGAACTAGGAGGAACCCCTGAGATCTCCCGGTATAACCCCCTTCCCCCCAAAAAATCAGAATCTGCTCATCTTCCTTAAACCCCTTCACTTTGAATAAACATTCAAAATCAGATTTTCTAAGTGTGTGTTAGATTTAGAGCAAGGAACTCTTAAAATAATCTTATGGTGGGATCAGTTACCAAATAAGTTTGCTTTGCTTTGCTTTGGAGATGCAGTGCTCTGCTGTCATTCCCACCTCCAGAGACCATGCAGTGGTAGGGACCAACCCAGTTCTCCTGTTTGTGAAGTGTAGACCCCAGCCCATCCCTCAAACACATGCCATAGGAGGTCAAGATTCCTGACCCACAGGGTTGCATCAGAGATTGCCTTTCCTCTAAAACCCTCTTATTTCCACCTAAACAAGATCCTGTTTCCTAGCGAGGAGTTACTCATGTAATAGCTTAACTGCACCACCCTTTCTGGTGTACGTCCAGCCCTTGGAGTTGAATACAAGAGGTCTCTGTTAGTCTCAGATTCTTTTCTTACTACTTAATGATCTGGAGTGTAAGTGTGAGCCACACACTGAGATAAATACACACTTCTCTTTTCATCTCTGTGAGAATTTCCGTTTGCCGTAACCCCATGAGAATTCTGTAATGTGTGTGCGGATATCTTGGATCTCACTAACCAGACATACATTCTGCCATTTCTAACATGGGCCTCAGTCTTCGATTCCTCCTGTCAATTTTTGGAGGGATCCGACCCTCGGAACATGCTCCTCGTTCACCCACTCACCCGGGCACCAGGGAGACTCGGCTTGTTGCTGTAAGTTACGCCTCCTTCACTGTGTCACCTGCCCGCATCACTGGTGCTATGGCCCAGTGCATGTGATCTAAACATGCATGACCCAGTGCCGCAAGGTGGATGGAGGGAGTTCCCATTGGCCCTCCCCACTTCTCCCAGGGCTGCACATTCCCTCCGTCCCCAAGGCACACAGATTTGAACCAGTGAGTAGGACATGAACATCCACAGCTGTCCTGGACCCCGGACTTTAATGAGATCCCCCATTTCACACACACTTCTGTCTCTCTAGAAATATGCATCCCAGGAGCCACACTTCTGTCCCCTCTCATGTCCTTTCCAAGCTGTGGCATTGCCCAGTTTTGACTGGCCATCCGTCCCCGCCCTGTGCTCCCCCACACACGTCCTTTTGTGGTGTAAATGCTCTCTCTCTCTCTCTCTCTCACACACACACACACACACACAGCCATACACGCACCCGTTGGGTTGTATCTATTGTGTCTTTGCTCCTTCTCTGTCTTGCCGCACTCTCTCCCCAGGCCAGGTCCTCCTCCTCCTGCTCTGCAAGCCAGTCCGGAGGAGAGTCTGGCCGAGGGTGTGAGGCCACCCACTCTGTATGTCCTGAGCTCTCATCCTCTACCGGAAACCCATGTTCATCTTTCTGTTCTGGCCTTTTGCGAATTGCCGTTTTGTTTAAAGCAACTCACTTTGGTCCTCTCCAGAGTCTGGATGAAAATCATTCTCTGTTGGATTAGTCGGAACAATCTTTGCCCCTGTTCTGGCTCAGAAAGGTTTCAAAAACAAAATCTCCAAACTTGCTGAAAGTTACTGAAATGACTGAGAATCAATGGATACTCCCAGCATAAAGCCGCTCTGCATGACATTCATATAATTGCTTTGCATGTGTGTGTTTTAATTGTTGTCATAGCTTGGTAATAATTTATTCAAGATATTGCACTTCAACCTGGGATTAGCTGTTTAAAAGAATTATTTTGGGGGGGGGTGTGGGTGCAACAAGTCCTTTTTTTTCTCTTTCTGTTCTCCATCTCCCAAAGTTATTAACTTGTTTCTTTAAATTCAAATGGACAGAATGATACGCAGGTTCTGGCATGTACACATAGTCAAACTTTTTCTCCCTCACAGTCAGTAAAATTTCACTAAACTTCTGCAAGCATCAAAGCCTCGGCTCCTCCCCCTGCAACAGTCCTGGGAGTCGTTGAGCCTCGGTTCTAGGGCAGTAGTGCACTGGCCTCTCTCTGGCTTGATTTCTGGCATTTTGAACTCTTTGGTCTTTTCGAGAATCCGAGTTCATAAGAGACTCCGATGAAGAGAAAGCTTCCCTGCAGAAATCCATCAGTATTACCAGTGCTTTGCTCAGGGAGAAGGACGCAGAGCCGAAGCTGAGAAATGAGGTCGAGTCCCGGCCCCGCCCACGTGGACCCAAGCCACGCCCATCTCCGCCCGGGCCACGCCCACACGGGCCGAGCCACGCCCATCTCTCTGAACCACGCCCACATAGGCCTGAACCACGCCCACCCCTAGGACTGGGCGGGGGGCTGGGCGGAACCAAGAGGCGGAACGCCAGACCCCGAAGAGGCACGGGGTCCCCGGCCGCTTCCGGCTTCCGGAGGAGGCGTGACGTCAGGATGTTCACGTGACCCGCGCATCACGTGGCGGCGGGGCTGGGCGGTGCCGAGATCGCACCTGTCCTCCGCGCGCGGGAGACCCTGGACTCCCTGCGCGATTCCCGGGCGAGTGCGCGGGCAGCGAGGGGAGGGCCGGGGCTGGCAGCAGCCTCTGGAGCCGGGGGCGTCCCCCAGTGCAGCCCGAGAGAGGGGGCGTTGCGCTCCCCGCCCTGCGGCCCGGCCCTGGGAGGGAAACGGGGCGACTCGAGTCCCTCTGGCAGGCCGAGCGCAGCCCCGCGTCCAGGCCCTTCCCGCTGTCCCACGTGCAGGGTGTAGCGGCCTGCGACCCTGGAGCCACTTTTCCAGCTACCTGCTCCTCCAGGGTCTCCTTGGCAGTTCACTCGCGGGGTCCATGACCCCAGTCTGACCCCAGGACCCTGCAGACACACTCTTTGTGGAGGACAGTGATTGCTTCCGAGGCCAGTCGCGCCCCTTGCCCTGATGCTGTTTTTCTTCAGGCCAGGAATATGAGTGTGTCAGCTGTTGCTAACTGCAAGCTTTGTTTGTCCAGAGTTTGTTTGTCCAAATGGCTGTTGTTTGTTGCTGGCCGTTACTGAAATTCCTTTTACTCAAAGGACGGGATGCTTCTCCCTCCCGCAGGCAGTAGTTTGGGATGAGCATCTCACAGGACCGAATAGCTTGCTTGCACAGTGCTCACTTCTAAAGGTAAAAGTGTTTTGGTTATTTTTTTTGAAACTGTCATTCTGGACTCTAGCAAGAGTAATATGATGTTCCACTTCTGGAGTAACTGGTGTGCAGAGCTGTCTGGTTTTTAGAATCACTGACGCTTGTATGAGTGGTAAATATTTTATCTTCTGTGGACCTTTTGTTTATTTATTTGAAGGAAAAAAACCTTTTATTTGGTGACTTTTAGGAAGAGGACGAGCGGAGAGAGAGTAACATTTCAAGAGAGACTGTGGGCTTCTCCAAAGGCAGAGAGAGCCCCTACAAACATCCCAAGATTAGACAGGAAAGCAAAAAAGCCCCCATCTCAAGGAGAGCTGCGGGCACCGCATTGGCTCGGCTACATGGGCACAGGCAGCTCAGGGGCTTGGGCAGCATAGGAGCCTTCAGTGGACCTTTCAAGGGTGGGTGTGCTCCCCCCTCTTCTCGACGGATCAGCATGTCTTCTGATTGTTACTTAATGTGGCTCAAAGTTTTTCAGACACAGGATTGGTTACTTCAGCCTGAATTTATACACCTGACTTTGGGGAATCTAAATTTTTATACTAAAGTGGTTTTGAATTTTATTTGGAGGCTCATGCCAGGCAGTGCTCAGGACTTACTCCTGGCTTTGCACTCAGGATCACTCCTGGCAGTGCTCAGTGGACAGTATGGGGTGCTGGGGATAGAACCCTGGGTCAGCTGAATGCAAAGCAAGCACCTTCCCTGCTCTACTTTCTCCCTGGCCCCGGGTCTCCTGAGCACTGCCCCAGGGCACCTCCTGGTGGTGATTCTTAGCAGTTCGATGATGCTTGGTACTGTGGTGGCAGGGATATCCCAGGCCACTCCAGTGGCCTCTCTTGGGCTGCACATGGCAATGCTTGAGAGCCTTGTGGTGCCAGGGGGCGAAGTTGGCAGTCATGTGTCAGGCATGTACCTTAACCTCTGCACTCTCCGACTCAACACTAAAGTATACTGTGCTTTGGAGTGGGAGTGTTACAACACCTGAGTTTTTGTTGTTGGTCTGTTTTGTTTGGGCCTCCCCTGGCAGTGCTCAGTCTTACCCCTGGCTCTGCACTCAGGATTGACTCCTGGTGGTGTTTGGGGACGGTGTGGGAGGCCAGCAGTCCAACCCAGGTTGGCTGCCTGCAGTGATGCCCAAGTTTGGGTCGGCTGGTAAGTTTTAGGGGTTCTGTTCACCATTTGTATGTGTGCTTTCCTAGGAACATGAGGTGGAGAAAATGTTCACACTCAAAAGAAGCCTCTTGCCAGCAGCCGATGTCAAGAATATCAATTTTTTCGTCAGACCCCGGCTAGAACTGATGGATATAATGGCTGAAAATGTGCTTAGGTATCTCAGAGCTGATGCTGGGTCCATACGGAATCATTCCTCTAGTGGTTTGAGTGCTCATCAGGACACCTTTGCTTGCCAGCGCTTTAGGAAGTGGATCTTTGGACAGATGTGAGAGTGTGTCGGAGGAGAATGGGGGGTCAGGAGCAGGATACTCTGCAGTCAGCCAAGGATAGATCCTCGGAACCCAGTGCGGTCCCCAAGTCTTCCGGGAATGACTTCTGAGTGCATAGCCAGGAGTTATCCCTGAGCACCTGCCGGGGTGGCCCAAAAACTATAAATAGAGAATGGGAAACTTTGTGTATTGGGGCTTGGGGAGACAGGGCAAACCACATAAACCCCCTGTCTCAGGACAGTAGAAAGCTCCGGCCTGTCTCAGTAGGCCCTCCCGTTGATCGTTGATTTGCTCGAGCGGGCCCAGTAACGTCTCCATTGGAGACTTTGTTGTTACTGTGTCTGGCATATCGAATACTCTCGGAAGCTTGCCGGGCTCTCCGAGAGGGGCCGAGGAATCAAACTCGGGTCGGCCATGTTGGCCGCTTGTAAGGCGAACGCCCTACCCGCTGTGCTAGAAGGACCCAAATTTCTTTATAAAAAGAAAAACAGCTAATGGTTCTTTTTCAAGTACTGAATACCATATGCTCAAACTTCATAAGCAAAGTCAGGAGAAGCTGATTAAAATTTAATGCTGCAGCATCTATGGAGGAAGTGCACCAGCCCAGTCTGCATTACGTTTGATCGACGTGGCCCCTAAGGACTTAAAAGCATACGGGGTATTTGAGCAAAATCGGGCACGGTGTGGAGCAACCTTTTATTTTCCTAGAGACATCGCTTGATTAAATAGAAACATTTTTTTTCTGCAAGAAACAGATGTCCGTTACAATAACCCTGAGAGGTTTTTTTTTTTCCTTTTTTTTGGGTGACACCTGGCAATGCACAGAGGTTACTCCTGGCTCTGTACTCAGGAATTACCCCCGGTGGTGCTCACGGGTCCATATTGGATGCTGGGACATAGGAATCCAACCCGCGTCGGCCCTCATGCAAGGCAAACGCCCTACCCGCTGTGCTGTTGCTCCAGCCCCAACCCTGAGAGTTTTCATGTCCCATTAATGGCCCAAGAGAAACTAACACTGCCCCTTGGCAGAGCACAGGTCAGCGGTTTCCAGAAAAAGCATCAAAATCAAGAGAGCAAGAAAACTAGAATCTTGGGCCGAGTCAGTGGTGGGGGGTAGCTTATAAGCGTCTCTTTACAGCCCACTGTGTGTCAGGCACAGGGAGGGCCCTGGGGAGCAGTCCTCGCCTCGGGGCCTCAGGCTAATGCACGGTCCTTCTCTTGCAGTGAAGACAGATGTGGCCTCATAAGAGATTTCCACATCTTGTTTGTGCCTCAGCGTCGCCTGCTGTGTGAGCAGCGGCTAAAGGACCGGGGCGTCCTGGGCTCCTTCATCCACAGGGAGGAGTACAGCCTGGACCTCATTCCCTTCGACGGGGACCTTCTTTCCATGGAGTCGGAGGGCGCCTTCCGAGTAAGTTCAGTGTTTGCCCTTTGAACTTGACGCTCTTTCTGCCTCGTTTATGCCTCGTTTGTGATGGTGACACTGACACTGGCATTTCAGTGATTCCTGGAAGCCTCCAGTTTCTTCCTTTTGGGGAGAGACGGGAGTTGTGCCACACCCAGCAGTGCTCAAGGTTTACTCCTGGTTCTGTGCTCAAGGATCACTCCTGCCCATGCTCGGGGACCATATGTGCTGCCAGGGATAGAACCCAGGTTGGCTGCGTGCAAGACCAGCGCCTTCCCCTGTGCTGTCTCTCGGGCCGCTGCTCCTCTTGCTTATGGAGACCCTCCTGTTTCAACAAATTGGCTTAAAATTGTTAATGCCCTTACTGAATTCTCAAAAATCAATTGTCCTTAAATGTGTTTATTTCTGGTGTTTCTCTGCTGCTGGTCGATGTTTGTCCTTGTGCCCGTCCCACCCTGACTTGACTGTGGCTGGGGAGGAAGCTTCGAGAGTGGAAGGCAGGGCTGCTCCAGCCAGAAATACTCAAGTCTGTCACTGCGTTTTTCCAGTTAGCCATTTGTGAGGGATTTTGTTTTCGTGACCACCTTTCCCCTTGATTGAGTCTTGGCAAGACCTGAAGACTCTAATCTTACATTCTCATTTTCTAGAAATACAATTGCCTCCATTTTTCATTCTAACTCTTGAGGTTCTGCAGTGTGACCTCAGGGCTGGGCGCAGGGTGTGCGGGAGATTCTGTTTCTCCCACACGCCCGTCCCAGCCTGTTTCCTACTGGTTATTTTCAGCACATATTTATTTGTTTGCTTTTCTTTGGTTTTTGCTTGGAGCCTCACCTGGTGATGCTCAGGGATTACTCTTAGGGGTTCTCAGGGGTCCATATTTGACTCTTTGATACCAGGGAAGCACCTTCGCACTGAACTACCTATCTGCCCCCCCCCCCCCCCCGGAGTTTTTCTTTTTTAAATGTTGTCTTTTTCTGAAAGGTGGTTTTTTGTTTGCAAATATGATTTTAACTATAAGTTAAGAGTTTGATCATAGGCAAATGCTGTCATGATCCAAAAGTAACGACGAGACTAGGACCCTGCTGCTAGGAATAGGAAAGATATCTGGCCTGAGCACTGCAGTCTGAGATCGAGATGGCCCTAGGAGAGCAATTCTATAAGCTCAAAGTATTTCTTACTGTGTCCATACAAAATTATATGTATGCTTATATGTTGGTTGGACAAGGAGAGGAGAAACACGTCCTAGAAGCAGTTTCCCTGTGTGTCCTGACTAGCTTGGATGAGACTGAACTTTCTCCCCTTCAAACTGCCTTCAGTAAATGATTTCAGTATATTGAGGCAGTTTCCCTTAGCTCACAGGAACCTAGCTGGCCTTAGGTATGCAGATCCCAGGTGGTAAGCCAGGCCTGATCTTTGGGATGTAGATGCCTGGCTCCAGGCAGGCTGATGTAGATTTCAAGCTCTAGGGACTGGTCTTTGTTGTGCTAATCCAAGTGCTTGTAGCTTGTAAAAGGTGAGGCCAGGATTCCTGGCCTGCACTTGTAAAGAAACAGTGTGGATATAAAGAAACAATGTATGGTTTGCTGCCTCAATGTTCTTTCTGTAACTCCTTTTGATGACATCATTATATTGCGCCCTTTAGAGGTACTGTGATCTATATAAGGGAGATTTAAGGGCTCTCTGGGGGGACATGTGCATCAGAGAACCTGGGAAGATGGGGCTGAGGACAGAAGCTGAGAGAACAAAGGAGCACATGCTTGAGAGATCCTGGGGCCTCCATGACATACATCTCTTCCCTGTAATAAACTGCTGCTAAGACCAACCAGCCTGGTCCCCGTTTCCTTCCTTCGCCTGACCAACGCCATCCACTTCCCTGGATTGGGAAACGGCCTGAGACCACCGAACGCGGGCAGCGGGAGAGATAGACCACCGGCCCTTTTATTTTTTGTGTGTTTACACATTCAACCAGATGTTTTTCCTATGACATATTATTCACTGTAAATAGGGAAAATTGTGCATGGCTGGAGTTCTGGCAGCCCGAGTGAGACCCCCCGCCCCCAAGTGGGTAACCACCACCTAGAGTGTGTGACCCTCAGCCTCAGCGAGAAAGGGAGGGAAAGGGAAAATAAGTACCGGAATGAAGGGGAAGATGCAAGTGGGAAACACATCAGCTTGATAATGTCCTCTAAAAACGGCGTACCAGGGCCAGAGAGATAGTAAGGTGGGTAGGGCACTTGCCTTGCCCCTGGCCGACCCGGGTTCATTCCCTGACACCCCATATGGTCCTCCAAGCCTCTCCTGGTGTGACCCCCAGTGCTAAGCCAGGGAGTCAGCCTGAACCCGTGCCCAGCCCCAATGCTCCCGGCGCCAATCATGAGGTGGGACTGAGTAAAAATGTGTGTATGTAATATCAGCGAGTTTGGCACTGGGCCCTCGCAAATGCCCTGGGGGCTAAACGGCCCTGTGAAATCCACTGAGAAGAGTAGAACTGGGCTGATAATGCAAAGGTTCACCCCACTCCCAGTTACAGCAGAGCAGATCATGCAGGGTAGACACGTGTTGTTAACGTGTGTGTGTGTGGGAAGCTGGCCCTTTAACTGACCAAGGCCTAAGTGCCTGTATGGTCATCCTGACCTACGGACACCACAGCAGGCACAGCCTGTGCTATGTATGGTCATCTTGACCTACGTGACCCCGCAACAGGCAAAACCAGTGCTATGTATGGTTATCTTGATGTATGGTTATCCTGAGAGAACATCTGTCATGGCTGTCAGTAATAACAAGAAGTAACTATCTCGTGTCTGGTAGGTGATGCATGTAAATGTTATAAATCATATGGACATGGCTCTTTGTGTATCTACCTCATGTCTGGTCAATCATATGGACATGGCCCTTTGTGTAATCACCTCGTGTCTGGTACCAGATACACATAAACCTTGTAATGCATGATAGGTGAAAACAAACCTTCCTAACCATATATGGGCACGACCTTTTGTGTAGCTGCCTCACTAATGGATATATACCCTGATTGCCCCCAATAAAGTCCTGTCCCTTTTTCTCTCTGTTTCTGAGCTGTATTCTGTCTCTTGTGTCTCGTGTTCATTCGGTCGGTCCTTCCCAGCACCTACGGATCCTAGGGCCACCTCCGCAGGCCGGAGAGTGGTCTGGCGGGGCCCCCCGCATGTGTGTGTGTGTGTGTGTGTGAGAGAGAGAGAGAGAGAGAGAGAGAGAGAGAGAGAGAGAGAGAAACATCTGGCGATGCTCAGAGGTTACTCCTGGCACTCTAGTAGCCTGGCATTGGTCACTATCGCTCTGGCCTCTGTTGTTAGCACTGTAGCACTGTCCTCCCATTGTTCATCGATTTGCTGGAACGGGCACCAGTAACGTCTCTATTCTGAGACTTGTTGTTACTGTTTTTGGCACATCGAATATGCCACAGGGAGCTTGCCAGGCTCTGCCATGCGGGGAGGATACTCTCGGTAGCTTGCCGGGCTCTCCGAGAAGGAGGAGGAATCTCACCTGGGTAGGCCATGTGCAAGGTAAACGCCCTACCCGCTGTGCCATCGGCCCCTGTGGTTAACTTCAAAAAAATTTTTTTAATACGGAATTATGGGTGGTGGGGATATAGCTTAGAGGGCTAGAGCCCCAACATCACCTGGTGAGCCCCGGGTTCAGGACAGGAGGGACCCACACACCACCAGATATGACCCTAGGGGCTTTTAAAGAGGAATTACAAGGGCTGGAGCAATATACATTGGGAGGGCATTTGCCTTGCACGCAGCTGACCCAGGTTCAATCCCCAGCATCCCATATGGTCCCCAAAGCACCACCAGAATAATTCCTGAGTGCAGAGCCTATCCCTTGAGCCTCGCCGGGTGGGAGTTGTTAGAGGTGTCTCTGTAGTAATACGCCGTTTTTAAACATGAATGTTTTGTTTGGGTGCTCGGGGCTGGGCAGGGCCGGGCAGGAGCCGGTTTAGCTGTCCGCAGGCAGACACAGTTCCCGCTCTGAACAGTCACCTGGGCCCCTGAGCAGTTCGAAAGAGGCCCCCTAATGCTTTCCTTCCCCTGCATCATCCTCTGTGGTCTGCTCCAATGCAGAGTTTCCGGTTCTTTTCTGAGGACTCTTTGGACATCCTGACCAGGGTGGCTTAGACTCAAGTGTGAGGCTGCACCCCAGACCTGGAGGAGCCATCCTACGGGGTCTTTGGGGATGTTAGGCTCACTCTGGGCCAGGCTCTCTGGGAGGTCTCCCTCTGCACCCCGCCCCCAGTCTGCACACCTCCACGGTGTTATCTTTTTATTGTTAATTTTTTCACCCGGAGATGCACGGGGGTTACTCCTGGCTGTGCAGTCAGGATTTACTCCTGGCGGTGCTCAGGGGACCATATGGGATGCCGGGATTTGAACCCAGGTTGGCTGCATGAAAGGCAAATGCCCTCCCCGCTGTACTATCATTCCAGCCCCAACACTAGAAGCTTCGACCTGGGGATCCTTGTTCCTTCAGCTCTTTTGCATGGAAGGGCGTGTGTGAGTCAGACCTGAGCGGCTGTGAGCGTTGGGGGGATTCCATGGCATGTGGGGTGTCCGTGAGTTTTCCGAGGCATGTGGGGTGTCCCCTGGTGGGTTCTGCAGGGCAGCTGGGGCTGGGACCCGGGTTAGGCCAGAGACCGGCCTCACGTTCGGTCACCTTCTCTCAGTCCTGTTTGCCGGCTTGCTCTTCTCTTCGAGCTCTTGCTAACTCTGATTTTCCCCCCTGACACATAAAAGTTTCCTCTATCTGGATATTTTGAAGTTGAATGCCAGCATGAGACGGGTGACGAGGCTCGCTGATGACAGTGAATAGATGCCGTTTGCATATGTCCTGTGCCTTCAGGCTGTATATAGTCTTGAACTGTGTCTGCAGCTCCTGAAATTTTCTTTGGAACAGAAGACTGATTTTTATGTAACTTCCTGATAGAATGTCATGCGGTGCTGCCTGAGGGGTAAGGGGTCCTCGGAGTCCTA